GTCGCTGGGCTTTGTGGTGGAGTTGGCGACGCCAGGATGAGGGTTAGAGGAAGCCAAGGGAGCATAATAGTCAGGAGCCCAGCGTGTGTTGGCCATAGTATTACGGCATGATCACCATGTTAGACTCCCGCATTTTACCTAGCAAGAACATGCACGCACCGTCCACTTTGCTCAGCTGGGTGGAGTGCAACAGGAACCAGAAATTTGTAGGACTTGGTACACCCTTGACTAACATAGAACCTGAAAAGACATGAAAAGACCTGTCTTGTAAATCCTATTCCCATGGTCTATTATCAGCTTCTAAGTTCTATGTCAGTCTATGAGGGTGCCTTAAGTGTTCTCTTGTAAAGGAACATGCTCTTCCCATGCTCTATTATCAGGTTCTATGTCAGTCTGTGAGGGTGTGTTCATGTAAAGGAGCATGGTAGTTCCCATTGGGCTAGTATCCGGTTCCTATGTCCGTATGCTGAAATTGTATGGAACTGTCCAGTTTGTGTGTCTTGTGCAGGTGTTGTTTGTTCGACAATCAACTTCAGAGACAAGACTTAGCGGGAAAATTTGTGTCACGTGTGTGTCGGAGTGTAGCAGTAAAGGCAGAATGACATGACAAATTGCATGCAATGCTATTTTGCTTTGCGCGAATGTCATGCAGTGCTATTAAACTCTTGGATCGCCTGGATCTTCTCCCCAAGCCATTGTTTTCAGATCCGTTCTACATTATAGTCCCGTTTCCTTCTTGCGTTTTCTGTGTTAGTTAATATATGTGTTTTCTCTCTCTCTCTCGCTTTTTTACTGTAAATTTATCATATCGTATACAGTGGCGGGGGTTCTTTCCATGTCAACACTTGTCGCCCAACAAGGCCACACAACCCGGTGCCCGAGCTCACTGAGAGCTCCTCGTAGCTCGGACGGCGGAGAGAGGGAGCTCTCTCGATGGACCAATACTGTTTTCTGATGGAGTGGTAACACCATGGATGCAGTCATAGTAATATATTTATACATTTATGTACATTTATACTATACATATTGTTCCTTACAATGTAACGATGTTCTACTCCTTTTTGCTTGGAAACCTTCGGAAATGGACCAAACGCTGAGTACCGATTTTGAACTCAACATGAAAGGACATAGATCAATTACCACACATTACCACCGAACAGTTGAGGTTAGTAAAGATGGTGTGGTGCCAGTAATACGGCGGTTTGAGAAAGCAAGAGGTCTCCGCAACTTTTCCAATAGCGAGAATGATGTCGGCGCTGTGTACGCTAAAACCTCGTGGGGGGACGCCATGAGCAATCTCTTTCCAAACCTCTTGGACTTCCTCATTCCTGTACACGAGGAAGTCGGACATCCAAGTCGCTGGCCGAGAGATTTAAAAATTGCCTAGGGCTTCGACAAGGAAAAAGCGCGTGTGAATCGGCTACGTAAGTATTATATTGGCTTACAAAATGAAACTCATATCAGACTGTTTAGCCATGTAAACCAGGGCTTTGAGCCAACCAGGAAAGCCACATAAAGGCACCAAATGATTCTTGATGTTCATCCGTAGTGTCAATGGCTATGGGTCAACACCAGGAGACCTTTGTTGACATACCTCTTTCAGGTCAAGCTACATGGTGGACCAGGGGGGAACAGGTTTTGACCCATCCCCATAACTCCATTAGGCCGCCGGTGGATCCACTGCATCCTTGGAACACCAGGCCTGCGACACCCAACGGAGCGGCGCCTGCCGCTCCTGCGGCGGCGCCTGCCCCAGCAGTGGCGTAGAGGAGGCGAGAGGAACTCTCGGTCCCGTCCAGCGGGGGAGGCCCAGATGGGTTGTGTATGTATATATATATATATACACAGTGGTTTGAGAGTAGATGGCACAAACCCCAAGATGTCTAACAACATGTCTTTTAGATGGGGATCGATATAAGCCCCCTTTGAGAGATCGTGCCATCTACTCTCAAACCACTATAGGCGGCTGATATTGTAATATATTTATATATAAGTCAAGTCGACGCTGTAAGAAGGTGCCGGTGTTTTGCGACCAGGGAAGGACTGCAAATAGAACTGTGGTGGATGGAACCAAGCTTCTCGCGGAGTTATCATTTATCCAAACTCAGCTGTGGTGTCATCGGGCGGCCAGTTTTGTTCCAGGATGTTCCAGGTAGGTGCAACCTACCAGGCCTTGGGGCGACGATCCGAGCTATCTTTCCGACAACAGGCTTCTTGTTCCTAGTAGCTTCTTGTTACTGATAGAAATGCCAGGAGCTACTAGTAGCGTCCTTGCTCCTAATAGCGATGCCCTTTGTTACTAGTAGCGTCCTTCCTCCCTTCCAAAAAAACCAACCACGTGATCCGCCGGACTGCCGCAGGAACCGGAACGCGCTAATTGGTGCATGCTGATCCCGGACTGCCGCGGTCGCGTCACCGGTGTTGAACCGGTGCACCGGTGTGGTCGTCGCACCCGCCCCCGGTGCCCACCGGAAGACCACGAAAACCACCGGAATGGCACCGGAACAGCACCGGAGCGCCCGTCGTTCGGCTCAAATTCGGTGCGGTGACCTGTGGAAAGCATGTTTGAATTGAACTGCGACCCATGGGTGCATTAGGCGTTTACATTGGAGGGATGCCGCATCTGTATGTTGAGATACATCTATGGTTGCAGAAAGATGGACCACCCACCGTTTTGGATTCACTTGGGGGGTTTTGAACGCGTGCCAGTCGATCTGCAGTCAATGCAGGTGTTTGCAGTAGATTCTCTGGAAGCAAGATGTTCTTTGTGTCCCAAGGTTAACAACAAGGACAGTTATGTTTTGCTTGCTTGCTGTTCGATGTGGAATGACATGGGCGAAGTAGCTTCAAGATACTGTAGTGTTCAGCTCAGGGGCGAACTTGTTCCATCGCGTAACGTTGATGTTGTTGAGTTGTTTGCGCAAGTGTGCCTCCTGGTCAGCCGCGGGGCATTTGTGGAGCTCCTGCTTCATGCAAATAGAGATGCTGCATGCCACGAAGTGCACCCATCTGAGAAGAATTGTGTAGAAAACGAGGGAGCTCCAAAGAAGTTTACCCAGTGGTGCTGAGAAACTAGTGGAAAAGTGAAACACGGACACATCAATGTTCAACGAAGGAAGACGTTAGAATTGTCGTAATGGTGAATGTTCCACTTTTCCATGAAATCTTTGGGCCCGGGCATGCCAGACTTGCAATGCCAAGAGTAAGACTACCAGTTGATGCAACAAGATAGCAAAAAAATGCTGCTTTTGTTTGATTCAGCAATGAGCAGCTCAAGCTAGTTGCATTTCTGCTCTCCATGCATAGATAAGGAACTTAGAGATCACCAAAAATGATTTCAACTGGGTAGTGGATGAACAACTATTGTTTCGTGGTGTTGATGTACTTGTCGTGGAAGATATGCGCTCGGATCATCTCGGATCCTGGGACGTCTCCAAAACTGTTGGAAGGACACCATCCGACGTCATTGCTTGACGTCCGCGGCTGGAAGGAACCGATGTCATGGTTGCATGCAGTTCTTGTAGCTTTGGAGTCAGACATTGGATGACATAGCGCATGGTTGCTATCAGGCATCATTTGCTTGGGGAGAAGTCTCTAACTAGTGTAATACTTAATAATGATCTATAATTCATCATCCACAGGCACTGTCAATGGGGTTTTGCTCTGTGAATGGACCCATCCTACAGAAACGCTTTGTTCTGTGACCCACCCCACCCGGACCGGACTCACGCTCCGACCGGACTCCCGCTCCCTCTCATTCGTCCATCGGACCGTCAGGCGCGGCTGCAGGCGTTGGCCTTATCGGTGCAAGGAGATCCCTTTGCTTGGCTGCAGCACCAGGACAATCCTCCGCGGACGCTTTTTTTGTGCGCTTGGCGTTGGCGAGACCGCGCCCGCGGCGCGTGTGTTGGAGACAGTTCGCGCGATCCATTTAGTTGATTTGGGACAGACCATGTTGAAGGGGTAGAGAGGATATATTTGTCTGTTGAGTATGGCAGGTAAGAAGGCCAACGTGGATCACAGTTCACAAGGGCCTGAGTTCTTTTCTTGGCGTGCTGAAAAGCTCGTCATTCACCTAGATAAGAGCTAAGAGATACTTGAGCCAAGATTCCTCAAGGAATCAGGGACATGTTTTTTGTTGGTTTAGCAAAGTTGTTTATCTTTGATGCTTCTCGTGAACCACAAGATCGATGCGACGCTGGCCCTTAAGCCGCTTGCCTGACGACGGTTAGTGATCAGATTCCAAGTCTCTCAAAAAGGGCATCGGCATCGGTTCCTTCTGAGTATGAACAAGTAGCGACTAGGGGCTCCTGGCCTTACTACTAGGAACAAGAACGCTACTAGGGGCTCCTGGCCTTACTACTAGGAACAAAAACGCTACTAGGGGCTCCTGGCATCGCTACTAGAAACAAGAAGCTACTAGGGGCTCCTGGGCTTACTGCTAGGAACAAAAACGCTACTAGGGGCTCCTGGCCTTACTACTAGGCTACTAGGAACAAAAATGCTACTAGGCTCCTGGCCTTACTACTAGGAACAAAAACGCTACTAGGGGCTCCTGGCATCGCTACTAGGAGCAAGGACGCTACTAGGAACAAGTAGATAGAATTGTTGACATTTCATTGCCAGAGAGCCAGAGACACTCTCCGGCAGAGTACGCGGTTGCGATGGCTTCCTTCTGTCTGTGCGAACATGTCTCAAACCAGGAAGAGTATGACATTGGCAGCTAGTGGCATTGCTGGTTCTTGGTCTGCCCTCCTCCATGCACAACGTGAAACTGCTGTAATGGGGAGTTCAGAAAACTATTCAAGAGCTCACCATCCATGATCAACATGTATTTGTTTGTGTGTAGCAGCGCTTTATTGTGCAGTTGCTTGTCTTTGCATGTTCATGTCAGACAGGCACGGAACTGTGCCGCAATAAGCGGCAGGGCTCTTCCTATCCAAGCAATCATTCCTGTAGAAATATATATATATATATATGTGGAGACATCCGCTTGACAAACTGCAACGACCAACAGATCCACAGCGGTGCCGGCGAACCTGCCACCGATGCTTCCTTGGTTGGCCCCCGCTTTGCCGGTAGCGGTGCTCACAGCGCTGGTGGCCACCAATGTAGCGCAGAATGGGCGGGCTGAGCATCCAGCACCAGCGCCTCCGCTGTGAAGCTGGGCCTTTTGGGGACCCCCTCGTTTTTGAATTTGTCAAACGACTCAGGTGCTGGTTCACCTAAAGACCTGTAAGTGCTGTATTCTTTTTTGATGGGGTGATTTGAGACAGGTAGATAGACTGATAGACTCCCCTTTGCTCTCCTGGCTGCAGATGTTGTATGATGTATATACAGATTTTGTTATTGTTATTAATATATATATATCATATAATATATAAGTTACTGTAATTTATCAATTATATCATTTAGACATGCACAAATCAAATATAGCAACTATTACCTGTCAGACAGGTGTTTGTCAAGTGTGCTTTGCCATGCTTTACCCCTTATGCATGCTGTCTTCGTTTCAAAATGTGAATCATTGCTTTCGACTGCTTGTCACATTTCAAATCCTTTGCACCGGGCCCTCCAGTGCTGCAGTAAACCGCGGCCGCTAGCTGTGCTTAGCCAATGAGACTGTCAAGTCTGAAAAACAAGTAATCTTTTTTGTGCAAGGTAGGTGTCCGCACATGATCTTCCGAAGCATGACTGGGCAGAGGGATAACGGTCATCCAATAACATCCAATAGCCTATGTTGCTAGACTCACTCAAACTATGAGGTGCTTTCCACCGCGGAAGATGTTTTGAAGCTGAAAAGCAAAGCTGACTTTGTCGCAGCCTGGCGTGCTGGCAGTATGCCGACCAAGTGCCTGGGCACTCCAAAGAGCACCAGTCGAGTTGTCCACAGAATAAAACCGTCCAACCTCCATATGAATCGTTTGTGCCATGCTCCAGTGTTCTGGTTGTGGTTGTTCTTGTTGTTGCTGTTGTTGGTGGTTGGTGGTTGGTGCTTGTTGGTTGGTGGTTGCTTGGTTGCTTGGTTGCTTGGTTGGTTGGTTGTAGCTCATGTTGTGCAATCCCCATCCATCGACCACATGGTTTGGTTGGAAGATCAAAGCATGGATGAGGAACGATGTCCATGTCCATACATTTGCACACACACAAAACTAGCATTGGCGTCCAATGATTCAAACTGACGCCCCGTGGGGAACGAAGAGATCATTAATTGATGTAGTGGTGTTTGGTTTGGAAGGTCAATCTTGAAGCAAGGGTGTTTGCCTCGGTTCGTTGTGAATTCTTTGATGCTTGGCATGGTATATAGTGCGTGTACATGACCTGTTCAAAATGCTTTAGCGAATGGATAGCGCTTGTTTAAACTCGTAGGCAAACATATAGCAAAAGGTGTTTGACCCTCACGCAGTATCCAAAACACAAGTGCATAGAAGTTCCACAGTGTGCCCCAGACCAAGAGTCGAGCGTTGGCCATGCGTGGGTGAGGGATCGATGGGCAGCGACATGGAATTCATGCAGGGATCCAGGAAGCCGATCTAATATAAAAGAATTGCAATATATCATAAGTATATTTATATATGTTCTTTTTCGATGACACTATGTATGTATGTATGTATGTATGTATGTATGTATGTATGTATGTATGTATGTATGTATGTATGTATGTATGTATGTA